TATATATATATATATATATATATATATATATATATATATATATATATATACATATACTTCCAAATCTTGAGTTAATATCTTTCGTACGAATCGAAAATATTCTTAACACATTTTAAACCTTGCGACAAATATGGCAAAATATTAATTGAATTTCTTTAACGTATGCATCTTCTTTTCGGTTTAGATGTGATGAAATGGATATGCCTCGGCATACAAAATATTATGCAATTGGAATTAATTGCGAACTGCAATTTCCGGGACGAATTAAAGTAGGTGATAACGTCTACGTCCATTTTTCAAAGTAAAAGTAAAAGAAATGAAGAGCAATGAAGAAGTTCCTTAGCGAAAGAGTTGCTGGTTATCGCGATGCTTTCGGCATATTATTAATATAATATATAATTATTAATATAATTATAATTATAATAATAATACACATGACATTTATCATTTAAAATTCATGCTGACTGGTTTTAGCTGAATACAATCTCAATTTAATACAATCCGAAAACCGTATGTAAATCTCGCACTATCTTTTAATATAGCTTTTTATATTTTAATCAGAAATTCAGATATTCTAGTGTGCTAAGATGTCGAGGTTACAACAGTTTTTTTGTATTATAAGCAATTAAAATTTGTTAGTAATATCGTGTGAATTCACTCCTCTAAACTCTCAAGAGATGCGCTCATGATCGATCTATTTTCGATTTTCTCACACTCAAAAAAATAGTCTTGCATAGCGAAAATTTTATCTATATGTTACGAATATGTTTTGTATTTAATCAATATAGATAACCAGAGTCAAATAACAAAGAATTTATACCTGAACTATTTGTAAAATTTAGCAAGAAAGTCTTTCTGTGGCGTCCATTCAGATTAAAGCCAATTTTGTAAAAGTGGTTGTATGTGTGGTAGACAAAAAAAATTGGCGATGAGAAACAAACTAAAATAAATCTTACACCTTTCTAAATTTGCTAAAATATTACTACTATATAAATTCTGTATACCACAGACAATTTTCTAGCAGATACAAAAGCAGCGATAAATTTTAAGTGTGACAGTTAGATCTTAAACTGTGACATTTAGGGCCAAGAAAAAATTTTTTTGAGTGCAGATTAACAAGATGAATTTCATATAAACTGACTCTTCTTGCACTTTTAAAAATGTTATGTACAATGCAGTAAACAACTAAAATTAACAAGTATTATTGATGGCAAATTTTAATAGCCGAATGTTACACGAAAAGTATGTAATCCTTTATTTCATATTTAAAATGTAATATTTATTTTAGTAAAAATTTTAATAGTTCTATTTTAAGAAAATTACTTGATGTAATCTCCACTTTTGAGATAAATAAAAATATTTGTACGTTTATGATACGTTGATATGTTTTTATAATTGCGTATTTATAATGTCCTTATTCATGTCATTATTCATTTGTTTATTTTGTATGCTTACTCCGAATTCACGTATACATTGTCTCTAAATATCTCATCATTATATCCTCCAAACATATTATTTTATTTTATTCACTTAATTATTTAATATATATGCATGTATAGAACAAAGATATAATTTCAGGCGTAAAAATCGTGCACCTTATGAATGAGTCGATTTTGAATGAAGATTGAGAACGAACGCGTTTATCACCAGAGCTACGCAGTGTCGTGCATGTAATTTCATCGTCGTCAGCCATTGACGGTGATGTGGTCAGAGATAAAAAGCACGAAGTAAGAGTAGGGATTCTAAAGTACGATAAACGATCGCTCTTTTCGTCTCCTCGCTTTGACGCGCGTCAGTCGCCGCGCTGCGCTTTATCGCGATGGACGTTCTAATGTTACGGTTGTTATTGTCCATCATAATCTTTGGATTGCTCGTCTCGTCGTCCAGTCAATATCACAAGCAGAACAGTAAGTAAAACCAATTAAACCTTGTTAATATATGAAAATGGGTATATAATAAATTCCAAATTTGATTTATTCTCTAAGGCAATATTAAAAGAAGATACTCTCTAAGGAATATAATATCGTATTCAAATACTCAGTATATCTTACTTTTTATTAACAATCCGATTATTCCTTCTACAGACAAAGAGAAAAAAAGAAAGAGGGACTTAACTCCCAAAAAATATAATCTTAGCTAAATCTTTTTATATTTGGCCTCGGGAATATTTTTCTGAAATAAAAAAGAAACTATATCCCAGCACTCTAGTTGTTACATGTTACATCCTGCAATTCCATATTCTGAATGAAAACTCTTATCGTAAGTGTAGGCGATTATTTTTGTTTTATTCACGCGGAACGTCGACGTTACAAGTGGCCCTCGCGGTCGGCGAGCGCTCTGAAGCCCCATGAGAATCGAGTCATGAGAATCGAGACGGTCGGCGAGCCTGTGAAGACACGCCGCGTCTTATCTCGTGCGAGACCCGCGAGCTTTTCTCCAAAAAGTTGGCTTCGTCTCCAAGGGACGTAGTTTTGTCTCCAAAACACGTGGCCTACAAAGCATATGCGAGTATATAAACGCGGCGAGAGCGCGTCCGGCAGTTGCTCGTGGTCAGTCAGCGGACTCAGACCTATATTAATAAACCACATCTTATTTTGTAAAACGTTCATCTTGATTTCGATAAACATTACAGAAAAATATCCCTTCTCTAATGAAGTGAACTATTAATCGGATATCCACTAGATATTATAATTTTTCTATTTTTTTGAATTAAGAGAAATATGTATATTTGAAGCAGAATTTTCATTAGAGAGAGAAGAGATTTCTATTGAGGACAAGACTTGTATCGTAAATAAAAGATGAAATTCTCTCTCTCTCTCTCTCTCTCTCTCTCTCTCTCTCTCTCTCTCTCTCT